TTAAAGATGTATTGTGCAATTTGGAGAAAATATGAAAGCAATTTCATCATACTATTATTAGCAAAGTAAACAATGGACAAACAAAATTAGATGAACTATAATATTTTAAATACTAAATATTATCATTTTTTCAGAAAGTAACTGCTAGAAAAAAGTGTATGCCACATCTTTGCAATAGCCTAAAGCAGAACTTGCATGAGATTTTTCAGAGAAAAATCAATAGAAACATATTAATAAAAGAAGGACCTGAATGTCACTGTCAGGCTAAGATAGGTCAAGTTGACAAAAAAACCACTTAAAAATATAGAAGGCACAAATGACACCATCTTTTAAATGGACCTTAGGGATGTGTGAACAACTGTGTGTGTATATGAAACCATGTTAAGAGAGAACATAACTTCATCTCAATTGCATATGGAATAAGCAGAAAAATTTATCATGAAAGAGAACTAATATCCATGAAACAAAAATATAACAAATAAGTATTTGTGATCACAATGTAACAAACTTAGGATAAAGATTTAGCTTGAGTTTTATATATAGAGAAGGAAACTTGTGAACAAAAAGATCTTATTGGTTAAAAACAAAATGAAAATAGAAATCATGAAATGTTTGAAAAAGAATGAAAATAAAACATTACAAATCTGAACTTATGACATTTAAAACAGCATTACAGAAAAGTGCTAGTTATGGTTTGCATCTCAATATTTTGTGTTCTCCCAAAGCCTGATGCAGTCATAGGGGTGGGTGGGCTTTTTCAGAGACAGATGAATCTAGAGTCTACGATTGGATCATTGTCCTTTTCTAGGATTGTGGATGTAATTTGTACATTTTCTCAGGTAAATGTCCATCAATAGATGAGTGGATAAAGATAGTGTAGTATTTATACACAGAAAAGTGCTCATCTGCTATAAAAAAGGGATACAATTTCTTTATTTGTAGGAATATGGATGCCCTTTCAGGCAATTATGTTAAATAAAATAAATTAAGCAACCAAGTTTAAATATGTGTGGTGTCTTTTATATTATATTTAGAAACCAAGTTCTAAATAAAGAACAAACCAACGATAGTTAATAGGAAAAAGGGAAATAGAGCTTTCTCAAATGAGATGGGCAGGGGAAGCAGTGACAGAGGACAGGAGTGGGAAGGGAGATGAGAAAAGGAATTTGGATGAGTTATGTGCATGTACCACTTCCACAAAAGGACATCAAACATTGTAAACATTTATGAATAAAATATAATTAATAAAATAAAAAATTAATAGATGAATGGAATACAAATGTCAAATGCAAACATAGGTCAGCATTAGGAAATTTAGCAGATAATTTCTTAGAAGAAAAAAATTGGGGTTGGGGAGATAGCTCAGTAGAATAAGCGCTTACCTGGCAAGCACGAGGGCCTGAGTTCAATCCCTGGTTCCAGAAAAAAGAAAATCATTGTTATCTCCCAAAGATAAGACTTTAGAGTAATTCAACACATTTAATATTTTAAAAAGTTTGAAGAAATGATACTGGACAGGCATTTTCTTAATTTTAAAACCAGCATATTAATAGGAAAACACTAGGAACATTCACATTTGGAACAGGAAAAATGCAAATATATCCACTACCTCTGTTATTATGTAATCACATGTTGGAACACTTACAGTTAAAAAAAAGTGAGAGAAACATTAAAGATGTAAAAATTCTACAGGAAGAGAAACTGTATTTATTTGCAAATGATTTGGTATTATCTGGAGATCAGGGAATGGGGAACTAGATCTTGAGAATCAATAACAAAGCCAATTTAGTCTGCATGCATTATAAGGGAGATGAAGAAGCACTGATTGCTGATTCCGTGAAAGAGCTCGAGTCTTTGCCTTCAGCTTGGACATCCTGTCCTGGCTTCTGCAGCAGATTGTTTGGCTTCCACCTGAGACTCTTCAGCCTTCTGGTGTAGACTTTTCAACTTTTCAGTGCAGACTCCTTTGCCTTCCATCGCAGACCTGTCACCTTCCTGTTAAATACTTGAACAGAACACTGCAGTCAGCCTCCAGAGTGGAGAGATCCTCTATACACTTTCTCATCCAACTCTGTGGCTGACAATTGTAATGCTACCTTGTCATTTCTTAAATATTTGTATATCTTGTATTATATCTGTTTCTCTAGTAAACCCTGACTGATACACTAGTATTTAGGATTATATGCAACTAAAGAAAGAAAAGATTAAAAAAAATTGGCTGCATTGGAACAAACAACTTTTGCATAGACAAAAATACTATAAATAATATCAATAGGCAAATGATAAATTGACAAATTGGGAGGATATTTGTGTAATTTAGACTATGAAAACAGGGTAAATAACATATTTGTTTATTATATATGTGGTAAATATGTACACACAGATTGAGTGTGTTGGATTTTTATTGCTATTAACAAACACTTGAGAAAATCTATTTAGAGGAATAAATGATTTATTTGGGTTTACACTTACAAAGGTTTCCGTTTATGGTCAGCTCACATCAAAGACCAACATAGTTCCCTTGGTCACAACGCCATGATTCATCCAAACACAAGAAGTGCCTTTTACTAATCTCCTGGATAAATCTCAACCAAAGAAGTCTACAGTCATGATTAACCATTACTCTTTGTAGATGCGTGCTTGCATGTGCGTGTGTGCATGTGTGTGTGTGTGTGTTTGTGTGTGTGTTCATTTCTATGCTGTTGACCAAATTTCAGATAGAAATTTTTGGTATTTTTCATGTGATTCTGAAGGGAAAGATATATTTCAAATGCATTTATGCCTTTCTTATTTTAAAATAAAGTGTTTTCTGTGAAATATATTTTTAAAACTCCAAAAGTAGTTAAATAAAAAAAAGTTATTTGATGAAATAAGAAAGGATAAGCCCAAATGCCATAATTATAATACTTATACTACACTGCATGCATTTTATTCACATCTTAAACTCTGAAATAGTTTTTAAGATTTTTACTGAATCTTAACCAATTTTCATCAACTTACTGGATGCTGAGTTATTTTTTTTTTCTGTTTTCATCATAAGAAAGCAGGGGAGAGGACACAAAAAGGTTAAAATAATGTCAATAATATCACTGGCTAGAACATATGAGCATCATAAGCTGAGACAACATAATAGGTTGTAAAATCTGTTATTTGTGAGCCTTCTCTGACTTACCTTGAAATCTCACAGTCCTCCTCAAATTCAATACTCAGCCCCACTAAATCCTGTGAGAATCCAGAGGACTTTTGAATGATCTCACTTGGGTAACTTTTGGGATCCTAGTAGCAGTATTTAGTCTACAGGAGCATAGCTGAAAGCCCACTGTTATGGTTTGAATCTTGTCGTCCCCAAGGTCTTATGTGCTTTATAGGTGGGGCTTGTCTAGAGGTGGCTTAATCTAGAATATGTGATGCTGAGATTAAGGATAGCTGATTACTAAATCAGTCCACTGATTGGTTTGGTATAAACCAGTAGCCTGGATACAATATAAGGGAGAGAAAGAACCTTGTCTTTTCCCTTCTTTGCTTGTTTTTGCTGTTTTCTGCTTCCTATGAACTGGTTTTTCTCTGTGTTGCCCCTCTTCCTGCCACCTTATCTTGGAACCAGTTGATAATGGCTAGAAAGCTTTACAAACCATGAGATAAATAAACCTTTCCCTGTTTAACTATAAGTGTCAGGTATTTTGTCTCAGCAACAACAGGAAAGTAACTAAGACATTCACTGTCACTTCTAGATTGTTCCACCCTACTCCCCACCCATGTAAAATGTCAGTTTCTCCATTCAGGCATTTTTACTTTCTCTAGTCTCTAGGAGTCCTCATTTATGCTTTTAAATTTTAGCTGTCTCATGGTTATCTTTATTTACACATATGATTTCTCCAGAACAACTGAAAAATGCAATCTCTTCTCCTCTTTATATTGCACAGTGCCTGACTAATGCAATAGCTTCACAGATATTCTCAAATGTGCCACAATTTACAACACAATTTCATGAACTTCTGAGTTTGTGTGAATAAACTCAGTCATTTTTGCAACTATCCTTATGAGGAAAACAAACTCTTATATCAGAGTCTACTTGTAACAAAATAGTTCACTTAAAACATTTAGGAAGACATTGGATGGCTACTACTGCCATACCACTTACACAGTTTTCCTCAGTACAGCTCAGCACTGTAGGATTTCAGAAAACATTGGTTTTAAAGAGGAGGTTCAGTGAGCAACTGATAATAAATTAGTCATGTTGCCTGGGATGGATTGGGTTTTCCACTTGATTTGCTTTGGGATCCATCCTGAAGACTGTTGGTGTGCGCATCAGGGTGTGTCTCGATGGGTCATAGAGACCTGGCCTTGGGTCTCCATATGGTCCTGGCTCCTTCTGCTCCAGTGTTTTTCCTGGAACAATCACAGGTTCTTCTAGGCCAGCATGAACTAAGCATCTTTGCTTTGCCACATCCTTCCGCCTTGCTGTTTCTCACTTCGAGCCAAAAGACCCCTGAATCTGTGAAGCATTAAATCTCTTTTTTTAAAAACTGGTGGGTGTCAGACATTGTGTCAAGAGATGAGAAACCTTACCAATTAACTTTAACATGGGTGGAATGTATCAGGCCACTTTCTCAGTGTCTTGTCTATAGCAACCATTCCATATCAGATCAGCACTAGAAAAACTATTCTGTTAGGAAAAGGATGCTCAGGTGAGGAAGGCTAAGAAACTCTCCCAAGCATGATGCTAGTAAAATATGAAACAAGGAATCATATCTCTTTTTTAATATACATAACTTCATTACAATAAAAAACCCACAAAATGAAACATCCTAGACAACCAAAAACTTTCTATTGGTACTAGTTCCTGCAAATGTGTTGTGCTGCCATACATGTGGAAGAAGCCATTAAATATTTAGAAACATCCAACATCAAAGCTTTAAAATCTAACTGTTTGCAGTAGCCCCTCAAAAAGCTATAACCTGAATTTTTTTTTAAAAAAGTTATTTTTCTACAAAGAATTAAAAAATATGGAATGCTTCACGAATTTGCATGCCATCCTTGCATAGGGGTCATGCTAATCTTCTCTGCATTGTTTCAATTCTAGTGTATGTGCTGCCAAAGCGAGCACAAAGAATCATATCTTAGCTGTCTCATTTTACAGCATGTATTTTCAACCCCTCTCACAAAGTTCGGGGATCATGCCTTGGATTTTCTTTAAATTTTGTTTTCATTTCATTTCCTTCCTTTCCTTCCTTCCTTTCCTTCCTTCCTTCCTTCCTTCTTTCCTTCCTTCCTTCCTTCCTTCCTTCCTTCCTTCCTTCCTTCCTTCCTTCCTTCCTTCCTTCCTTCCTTCTTGTGATACAGGGTCTCACTATACAGGTCAGACTCACAGTGATCCTCCTGTTACAACCTCCCCAGACCTGGGATTACAGGCATGCACCACCACGCACATAGGGCGTGGGGCTGGCAGGGCATGCAATAGCAGGGATTAAACTCTGGCCCTTGTGCTTGCCAGGCAGGTGCTCACACCGCTGAGCTATCTTCCAGTCCTCATGGCTTGAATATTGAAGGGTAGGAAATATGACAATATTCCAAAGTAATACTCAATTTTATGCGTATACAAACTATCTGTTTTAGAAATGTGCAGACAAACCTGGCTTCACTATGATTGTGCATTTTAACTTCACAGAGAGACCCGCTATTGGATTGGGAATAAAGTAAAGCTATCTTTACAAGTGCCAAGTCATGTTTTCTAGGGTCTATCTATGCAAACATGACATCCTTTTTTTAATTTGGGCACCCAAAGGGAGCACATTTGTCTGGTTTGCAGAACATCACCATAGAGGTCAATGGTTGCACTGCTCATACTTGTATACAGGCCATGACATAAAATGCCTCACTTTGGGTCAAGTCTAAGTTTCTTCTAAACTCCTCAACACTATCTTGTCAACACAAATACATGCATTTCAAATAAATAAAGAAAAAGGATACAGTAACCCTCATATTATTTATTGCAAAAGGTAGTGTTTCATAATGCTGAATGGTGGCTAGAGATGAAACAGGTACCTGCAGGACTTAGGTGCAGGCTCTTTGCCAGTTGTCAAGCTCTTGTTGTCCCAGATACTCGACACAATAATCTAGGAATGGGAAAGTGTGCCATTTTCACCATTTAGCACTTACATTCAGTTTTATTTTTTTTTTTTAGTAGATTCTCATTTTGAAATAAATGTGGTTACACTTTCTGGGAGGAGGAGGCAGGGATGAGAAGATGAAGGAAGAAGAATAATGACAGGTAGCAAATTCACATTAAGCCATGACTGTGCTAAAGGCACCATGTGAGCTTTGTATTTAATTGTTTTCATTATCTTCACTCTAACATTTGGCTACTGAGGTACAATGAATACCGAAAGAACTGATCATGAATCAGAGTTGATAGCTTAACCCACACACTCTGTCTCCAGTGGTCAACAGTTCCTCCTAGTTTTCCTCTCAAAACTAAAGTTAATTTGGTCCCAAGCTACCCACTAAAATCTGACAGTATTTTTCCAATTTTCTTGGCTAGATTTTTACAAAATATGTGTTCTCGGCTGGCCAGATAGCTCAGCACACTAAAGCACCTACTTAGGCAGGCTCAGCAACTGGGGTTCAATCTCCTGCATGCCACGCCGGCCCCGCCCCCGGGGCATGCTGAGACAGAGACTGAGACTGGGTGTGGTCATGCATTCCTGTAATCCCAGTGCTTGGGAGGCGGAAAACAGAAGGATCACTGAGTCGATTTGTTTAGTGAGATTCTGTAGACCCTATACTAAATACATTAAATAAATAAATAAATAAATTAAAAAAATATCTGTCATTATGTGTGAAATTTCTAAATAATCCCATTAGTGATTACATAGTACAAAAAGGTTGTTCTACTCTCCCTATTAAAAACACCATGAAATAAAAGGATGAGAGAGTTCAATCATTTAGAATTACAAACTGCTCACCCAGCACAATGTCAGGCAGTGCCCTTGGGGGTGTGACATCATAATGTTTGCCACCTCCACTAAGCACGAGATTAGACTTTCAATAGTGTAAGTCTTTTAACAGACCAAGGAAAAAGAGTACTAAGACCTCCTGATCTCATTTCAACACATGTGCCAGCAAGTGATAAAAACCCGAGACGTGAAATAGAGAACTATCAGTTGATAAAGAAATAAAATTGTCTCTAAATGCTATGTCTTTCAAAGTTTTCCCAGATACATCCCTGTGTCTTTTAAGACAGCCTTCCCTTCTCTAAAGACAGGGTCAGTCAAGGGCAGGCAGTCATTTATCTCAGAGGTGGCAGAAGTCTATAACTTAAGAATACCCCACTTGAAAATGACAGTCATCGGGAGGCCCCTTTTATGATAGCTCCTTCTTTCAGGCTGATAATAGAACAGAACTTGGGAAGGGCCACTCCGTGCCATGAATCAAATCGTCTTTCACTAAAGCCATCTCCTATTGATGTTCATGGGCTGTTCCTCATTTATATTGATCAGTGAACATTTGTTTGCTGAGATAAAACTGAAAGAGATTGCCTGGATGCCTTGTGATATTTTCAAAGGGGAAATGCATTTTTTTCTGCATTCTTTATAGAACTGTGTTTCAGAAGGAAGGAGTTACAAATCTTCTACTTTAGAGATGTCTGGAATGGAATAAGAAACATCACGTTTCTGAGTTACTGTTTGTTTCCCTGGGACCATTGTTATGAAGTTGTGGTAAGTATCAATTTTTTAAATGGCCTATTTTATTCATTTAATTCGGTTAGGTATAGCATTGGGAGATTTGTGACAAAACATGACACTTGCCACACACAAAGAATAGTTGAGTTTCAGAATTTTATATTGTTCAGGTGTCATGGATGAACCAAAGACTCATTTTACAAAGCGAATTGGGACTTCTTAGCTGTGTCTACTGTGTACACATAGAACTACCTATCTATCTCTAGAGACAGAGGTAGGGAATGGCTCGTTGGACAGTGTTTACTGAAGCTGAATGGAAGACTGAAAATGGATTTGGGGAAAATACTTATTTTCATTCAGTATGTAAAACAAGCCATCTAATTTATTGTATTTAAATGTTGATAATCAGTACGACAGTTATATCACAACAAAGTTGCTTAAACAAAAGATTTATCAAAATCAAATATTTGCTTTAATTACAGAGTTTACTTTAAGAAAGAAGCTAAAAGTCTACATGCATACATGGAGGCTCCAATAAAATTCCCATTAAGCAACAGATATTGTATTTCATCTTGACAATAAAATGTATAAGGGCATTGAGAAATTGACCTTTGTGGTAGTACTGAATGACAACAGTTCCCTCTGATTGATCTTAGTGATACTTGGGGTCATGCACAAATCTTTTATGACCACCTGAAGGGGCTAGAAATCAACCTCAATCACCAAATTGAGAAGAACAAGACGCTATTTTGAAGGTCATCACTAATCTTCTGGTTATGAAAATCTGTGACCTTTCCTAGATTTTCATGATTTCTACATTTTTTAGTATTTGAACTAGATATAACCCTTTATTTAATGGCCCTTTGACTTTCTTACGTTTCATGATAACATAATTTTCATTTTTTGTTGATATTTAAACATTGCTTTTGTTATTTCTTTGTCTTTCCCCAATTGAAGTTGAGATTTTTCTAAAATTTATTCTGTAACTTCCTTTTGTCTTTCTGCAAGATTTCATGTAGTGATCTCACTAGTTCCTTTAAGTAAATAGCTGCAGTAGTCAGCTTTCCAGTAATTTCAAACAATGCAAATACCTACAGCACTAAAAGGATGAATAGTTTAACTTGGTTCACAGTTTCAGGAGATTCAACCTATGGCTGAGCCTAAAGAGAATGGGCAGGAGATTATACATGGGATCTAAGACCACACTTTGGTGATCCATCCAGGCACTCTCAGAAGTGGGCTTCACTAATCTGCTAGGTGTTTTTTTTTTTTAACACAATGATGTTGACATACTAAGATTTACATGCGTAGTACTTATTTATACTATAAGTAGCCACAACTAGCTTTCACACAATGTTGGGAAAGCTTAAATATTAAGTTCAGATTTCAGTACAGCGTCAGACAACAAGATTTGAAAATATTGAAGCAAGATGATATGTTGCTTAATGTGTGTCTGTATGTTTACAGAATAAAGTCTGAAAGCTAATGAAATAGTCTAAAGAATGAAGATATTCTACTTCAAAGGCAAAAAATATTAGACTTCTACTAGTTGCCCTGGTTACTTCTTTAATAATGTAATTTATTTTCCATTTTTTTCCATATCACATTAGAATGTTAAATTTAAGATTTAAGAAATCAAAGTTAAAATGAAAATTCACTTTGACCCAGCTATATCTCTCCTGGATACACTCCTGAAAGAGTTAAGGTCACCCATCATGCTATAGAAATATATTCACTTAAGCATGAATTCCAATAAGTAAATTATATAGACAGCCTACAAGCCCATTGAAAGACTAATATATGAAGAAAATTATGACCATGTATGTACATATGTATAACGGAGTATTACTTGCCATAAAGACATATAAACTTGGTCATTTGTAGGAAAATAGATGATTCTTGAGATGATAAAGCCAACTGAAATACATCAGATACAGAAGATTGAATGTCACATGGTTACTCTTGTATGAGAAACCAAATACTTAAATCCTTTAAAGAGTAATGTAAGAGACAGATAGTAGGAATCAATAATGTAAATTTGTGGAGTTGAGAAGAGAATCTGGAGAAGTGAGAAGACAGGAAAGCATAGAAGAAAAGGGAGTAAGAGGGGCATAAAAATGACCAAAATGTGGGATAGTAGAGATAGCTCACCAGTCTAAGCATCTGCCTGGCAAGCGCAAGGACCGTGGTTTGTTCCCCATTACCACATGCTGTGCTGCTGTTCAGTCCACTGGACCTGGGTGAAATGGTACACAGCTGTATCCCAGCACTGGAGAAGCTGAGACAGGAGGATCTCTATGAATCTGAGCTGCATAGTGAGACCCTGCACCAAATAAATAAATAAAAGATTAAAAAATGACCAAAATGTAATGTATATAAGTACTGATTTTGCAAGATGAATGCAAATATTATGGATCACAAATTC